TCCCGTAGCCGGTCCCGGTCCGGTACGGGCGCGACACTGAGGGTTGCGATCCGTTGCCAGGAATGAAAAAAGACAAAAAGGAAAAAAAAAAAAAAAAAAGAAATGTACAGCATAAATTTCTGCTGATTAAGCCCCCCAGTGGTGGTACTTTTTTACAGCAACCCAAGGAAACTAATAGATGATTGTAACAACAAATCTCTATGTCCAGGGAGCGTATGATCTGGTAGGAGATGGTAGGAGGGATGTATTTCAAAGGACTCCGGTTGTAGGCAACAGAAATGCACTAAAGCTTGCGTAAACAAATAAGTACACAAAAAGATGAACTCACAGATTCCTAAGGCAGGACCGTAGCCAGCACATAAACATCATGAAGACTCCCTATCACTTGTCCCTCCCCTTTCTTGGTAACTGTGACATTTCTCTCTCTCTCTCTCTTTCTCTCTCCCTCTCCCTCCCTTCCCCGCCACCCTGGTTTTCTGTGCTTCCTTAATGCAGATGGCAGAAACCCGGTCCCAGATAGCACCCAGTTTTGTGCATTAAAAATACAACCACCTAGAAAGAAATTGCAGGAATCACGAAACGGTTTTCAATTCTCAGGGATGGATATCTTACTCCTCCACCTTGGGTCGGATGCTGACCCTATCAACTGTGACCAAACAGGCAATATGTTTAGGCACAAACATGGTGCTTCCACCATCACCATGTGGATGGAGTGAGGGGAGGGGTCATTACCAAAGAAAGGGATACTGTGCAGGTAACTTGAAGAGAGTTTCATCCCCCTCCCCTTTCTTGGTAACTGTGACATTTCTCTCTCTCTCTCTCTCTTTCTCTCTCCCTCTCCCTCCCTTCCCCCCCACCCTGTTTTTCTGTGCTTCCTTAATGCAGATGGCAGAAACACGGTCCCAGATAGCACCCAGTTTTGTGCATTAAAAATACAACCACCTAGAAAGAAATTGCAGGAATCACGAAACGGTTTTCAATTCTCAGGGATGGATATCTTACTCCTCCACCTTGGGTCGGATGCTGACCCTATCAACTGTGACCAAACAGGCAATATGTTTAGGCACAAACATGGTGCTTCCACCGTCACCATGTGGATGGAGTGAGGGGAGGGGTCATTACCAAAGAAAGGGATACTGTGCAGGTAACTTGAAGAGAGTTTCATCACCAGAGATAAATACAATAGTTCCCCCCTTACCCACTGGGGACACATTCCAAGACCCCCGATGGATGCCTGAAATGGCAGATAGTACCAAACCCTATATATACTCTATATAAATAGTATATATTTAAATTTAAAATATACTATATTTTTAATTTAAAACTTATGAATTGTTTATTTCTGGAATTTTCCACTTTATGTTTTTGGACCAGGTTGACTGCAGAAAGCAAAACTGTGGGTAAGGGGGTACAAATGCGATCATATAGTCATGGCGACATACCGCATTGCTTGAAGCTGAAGAAATCCAGAGAAAACATTACACTGAATAGCAGCATTTGGCATCGTACAGTGATGGAGCTGGAGTTGCTTGTCCCAGCTTCAAAGAGGCAGACATCAGTAGTGGTTAAAATGTGCCCTTGAGGAGTGAAAGACAGATTTACCTTTTATGAATTGTGTAATCCTGGGCACGTCCCCATGCCTTTGTGCACCTCAGCTTCCTTATCTTTCAGAAAGGGAAATAAAAATAATATTGCCAGCTTCCCAAGTATGAGGCGCAGGATTAAATGTTTGTTTGGCACATGTAAGTACCCAATAGACATTAGCCGTTACTAGTACCGTTGGCATTTGAAGAATCTTTTTTTGTTTGGCTTTATCCTTCAGGCTGAATTCTCAGAGTTGAACCTCGCTGCCTACGTTACCGGGGGCTGTATGGTGGACATGCAAGTCGTGAGAAATGGGACCAAAGTTGTAAGGTAAGCAGGACTGATATACGGAAAGCCTCCTGAGAGGTGTGTGTTGGAAACCTCACATAGCCCATCCCTGTATCTACTGCCTACAACCCAGTCCCTCACCACATGTACTTTCATGTGCAGAATGTCTGCTTCCAAAGAGTTCCAGATGTTGTTGTTATAAAAATGACTGGTGGTCCCTGTATCTACTGCCTACAACCCAGTCCCTGACCACATGTACTTACATGTGCAGAATGTCTGCTTCCAAAGAGTTCCAGATGTTGTTGTTATAAAAATGACTGGTGGCACAAGTAATCTGGGGAAGCAGCTGTGGTGTTCTGGAATGAGCCCTGGGCTTAGGGAGAAAAGACTTGGGTTCCATTTCTAACTTTGTGGCTCTATTCTGGCATATTATTTAGTCTCTCTTTCCCTCTGCTTCTCATCTGCAGCATAATAATAGCCACACTGAAGTCACAGGCTGCTGACGTTTACATAAACTCATGTATGCGAAAGCACCCTATTACCTCTCAAGTGCTGTGCAAGTGTACGAGTTCATTATTAGAATGAACTAAGTCCCACTTCCAGCAATAGGTCAGACCAAATGTTCAAAGAATCCCATCCAAGCACGTCAAACCTAAAAGTACTAGATATAATATTTTTTAAAAGATCTGTTTATAATGTACGCTGAGCTGGAGAGCCAGTGAGGGAATTCTTTAGAAGCCAAAAATGATAAGAACATATAAATCCACAGGAGAGATAAGTATGTGTATAACTACATTTCTTTCTAGCTAAGTGCCCAGAGAATGATACATACTAGGTCTTGTGAGTGTTTAGATAGGGAAGAGATAGGATTTAGATTTGGGGCAAAAAACAGGAAAAACTTTGAGAAACAGGTGGCATTTGTTCTGAGCCTTGTCAAATGGTAAAATGTGGTTGTTCTCAGGCTGGGGACGGGGAAAGAGAAATGCATTCTAAGAGTAGGAAACAGCTTCTGCAGATGAAACAGGCAAGAAAAATGGAGCATGTTTGGGAAATTATGATAATTCAATTAATTCAGCTGTCATTTATTGAGTGCCTACTGTGTGCCAAGAAAGACATTACCTGGCTTCCTATTTCCAGTAATGGTAAGCTAGGTCATTTGGACCAACTTTTCTATTGAAAACAACTTAAAAGCGGGTTCTAAAGAATTATAATATTTAAAAGCCTTCAAAGAGTTGGTATGACAGTAAGGAATTACGAGGAAGAGAATGATGGGAAAATGGAAACCCAGAAAGATAGATGAAAATAAAAGCCACCTGTGTCCTGAGAATATTTGCGAGGTTAGCTGAATTTGACATTGGTTTGGGTAGCCTAGTGGGGACAAGGGAGACAGAAATCAACCCCCAAGGTCACTCAAAGTAGGGAGTATGATGGTAGACCCTCCACACAATAAGCTGAGACCTCAAGGGACTATACCTTCAAAATGAACATGAACTATAAGCAAACGAGGCCTTACACATAATTGCGGATTGAATAACCTAGGCCTTCCAGAGAACCTCTAGCGTGGAACTTGGTTTATGGTGATCCCAGACATACCAGAAGTAAAAGCAAATTCTATGTAGAGGAAAGTACTTTCATCCTAGGCTTCAAATAACTCTTTAACCTTCACACAGCTTCAAAAAACAAGCAAATCTTCTCTCATCCCACTCTTACTATAAAATTTCCTTTCCTACATATACAAACTCTGGATTCAAAATCGGCGGCACTATAAAACATTAAGTTGAAAAATAGAAATTAAGAGTACAAAATTGTGGTTCATGTTTCTTATTCTGTGAGTTCCTGAACACTTATCTAGGTGGATTGCATGTGAGACTAAAGGCTGGTGTTTAAGGCAAGAAACCAGCCTTAAAGAATTGACATAACAATTGTTTTTATCGGTAATGTAAACCTCCTATGATATTTAGCTAGCCTTCCTTACATAAAAGTGTTTTGCTAAATTTACAGTATATATAGATCCTTCCATGTCATTTTACCAAGAATGTTTGAACTCTGCATATGGGATATAGTTCCTGGTAGGGATAGCTCAACCCAAACATTCGTTTTTCTACTTACCTCCTCTAACAAATATGGTTTGTTTGAAGAGTTTTTAAAAATTACACCTACGACCCCAATTCACATTATTTGCTGGTGACACATTTTTTCTTGCCTAGGTAGTAACAGCCTAATCTAGTGCTGTTGCTTCCTGGAAAATCTGAAATCATAATGATTAAAATAGTTGGGGTAAAGTTGTAGCTCATATGCAACACTACTTGGAGGAATTCTTTTACTAACGTATTTAATGTGGAAATTGTATAGTTGCGTTGATTTGGTTATGTTTCAAATAAGGAATAGAAATGGTCTTCAAAAAAAGTTTGGTTTTTTTGTTATTGTTGTTGTTATACTCTTTGATTCTTGTAATACAATGCTATGAACCATGCCTGGAAAGAAAATAAAATGTCTGAAATCCAAAAAACAAAAAAAACCCCAAATAACTCTTTAAATAATTTTTTGTATAATAGCTAGCACCTACTCAAATATGACCAGGCATAGATTCTATAAATTAGCAGAAACAGGGGCCGGCCCAGTGGCGCACTGGATAGTGCGCCGCTTGGGAAGCGCAGCGGCGCTCCTGCCCGAGGGTTTGGATCCCACATACAGACCGGTTCCCGCTCACTCGCTGAGCGAGGCGTGGGAGCAACACCGAGGGTTGCAATCCCGTTGCCGGTCCCAGGTCCGGTACGGGGGCAACACTGAGGGTTGTGATCCGTTGCCGGACACAGAAAAAGACAATAGACAAAAAAAAAAAAAAAAGACACACATTGGCTGACTGGATAAGAAAGATGGACCCAACTATATGCTGCCTACATGAGACCCACCTCACCCATAAAGACTCACACCGTGGGAGCAACACCGAGGGTTGCAATCCCGTTGCCGGTCCCAGGTCCGGTACGGGGGCAACACTGAGGGTTGTGATCCGTTGCCGGACACAGAAAAAGACAATAGACAAAAAAAAAAAAATTAGCAGAAACAGAAACAATAGAAAATAGAAACAGATCCTCAAAGATATCAGATATTGGAATTATAAGACATAGCTTATTAAAGAAAAAAAAAACTATGTGTAGGTTGAACAAAAATAAGTTTTTAAGATATCTGCAGGGAACAGGAAACTACAAAAAGTGACATAACCAGTTTTTTAAAAAAACAAATAGATCTGCTAGAAATGAAAACTACAGTAACAAAAATTGTCTGTGTTGTGTTTAACACATTAGACACAGCTAAAAAAGTGTTAATAAAATTAAAAATAGAGCTGAAGAAATTATCCTTAATGAGGCACAGAGAGAAAAAGATTGGAAATGCAGAAGAGATGTGTAGATCCCAGGAGAAGGTCTAATATTCACTTAATCAGAGTCTCAAAAATAGAGGCTAAAGAGAATGGAGCAAAGGTGGTATTTAAAGAAATAATTCTTTCAGAAAGATACCAAAGCACCAAAAAACGGAAGCTCAACAAATTTAAAGCAGGATAAGTAAAAAGAAGTCTACACCAAGACACATATCGTGTAATTTCAGAAAAATAAAGAAAAGACATCTTAAAAGCAGTCAGAGAAAAAAAAGGCAGATTGTTTTTATTGGAGTAATAGTCTGACCACTTGCTGAGAGAAATGGTGGAGGCATATCCTCGTGTGCTGAAATAAATTAATTGCCAACTTATAATCCTATCCTCAGGGAAACATCTTTTACGAATAATGGCAAAATAAAAACATTTACATGCAAAAAGAAGACCCTCACTAAAGGGAAATTGTACAGTACATAACTTCAGGCAAAAAGAAAATGATCCCATGTTAACATAGAGCTGTGAGAAGATGGGAAGAACAAAGAAGGTGGTAAATGATAATAAACATTGTCTTAAAAGACAATAATAATAATATCTATGGGTTTAAAAACATATGAAGGATTAAAGTGCACCACACTAAGTGGCTGGGGGTAAATGGAATTAAGGTATTCTTAGGCTCTTGTATTGTCAGGGAAGAAAGTAAATGTATTGATCAGGCTTTGAAAAGTTAAAGATGCATGAGGTAATTCCTAGGGTAATTACTAAAAAAATAGAAACAGACTTTAGTACTTTAAAACTACAAGAGAGAAAAAATAATAATAATAAATAAAGGCAAGAAAGGAGAGGAAAAACCAACAAAGAAGAGGTGTTATAAATGACACAAAATAACATGGTTGATTTAAACCCAAATGTACCAGCAGGGCTGATGTCATTCTGAATTGCTTGTACATCAGTACTGGTTGTGAAAACACTGAAATTTTTCTATACAAGTTGGTAAATGGCCAATGCCCTGAGCCCACTGAGTGCCTTCACCCATCCTCCCCCCACTGATAGGCACAGCCAGGGACTGCTCTTGTGTCTGCTCTTGTGTCTTCCTTGCTCCTCCCCTGGCCAGAGAATGCCCAGATACTGAAGGGAAGACACATCCTCAGAGGTGGTGGTAGAACTCCAAACAGCAAATGCCTGGTTCCCCATGTCCCTTCAAGGCTGTAAATCCCTGTGTATCCCATGGAATCGCCCTCTCATGGTCACTAGTGAGAACTGCAACCTCCACAAAGTACACTGGGAGTTGTTAAATATTTGTTATCACCAATATGTACTAGTAATTACATTAAATGTAAATGGACTAAATGCTCTAATTAAAGAGTAAGGTTGTCAGGGTACATTTTTAAAAATCCAAACTATATTCCATTCAAGAGATTCATTTATATATAAGAACACAGAAAGTATTTGAAAGTTAAAGGATGGGAAAAAAAAATATACCATATAACTTCAGGGGGAAAAAAAAAACTAGCTGATGCAACTGCATTAGTATTGGGGGAAAAATAGACTTCCAGGTGAAAAACATTTCCCTTTTTCCTAGTAGGGAAAAGGAAGTAATTTATTATGATAAAGGATTCATTTATTGAGAAGAAATAATAACTTTAAATTTATAAGCACCAAATAAAAATACCTC